GCGCAGCCTTCCTCTGTCTACACCCTTACAACACGAAAATTACAATTCTTAATGGTTTGTAACGGTCATTTTTCTGATTATATTTTTCATGAATATTTTTTTTAATAAAAAATGAGCGACGTCTAAAACTACGTGAACACTAGGAAGAGCACTCAGGAGAGTGCCCTTTATAACATATGTCATAGGTCATAGTCATCGGACCATAATCCTTTATACTCAATAATTACCATAGATTTCTTTAATTTCTAATTATCTGTACTGCATTATATGCTTCTACAGAAACAAATAAATATAAAAAATTATATAGTGTTTTTAAAAAGGGATATATAATACTATTTTTTTGTGGATTCTTTTTTTCATTTACTATGATAGCATATGATAACCTATACTGTCATCACGGGAATTGCTTTTTCTTGTTAACTACACATTTTAACCATAATATGAATGTTTTATAATGTTGGAATGTTGACATTAAGAAGAATAGACGTATAAACTGAATAGAAAAAATATAATCTGACAAAACTGTTTTTTAATTTCTGCACTAAGGCGTTACATCAAGACAAATATCACAAAAAATAATGACGCACGGAAGAATCTTATGTGTCTATACTATTAAAATTCAGTAAGAAATCTTTACATTATACCGCGTCAACGTGTACATTCAACGTCCTCGTCAGCGCCACACATTAGCTCTCTGTTCAAGCTAAATTGTCCCTTGCTACGTTTTTCAAAATTATCTATTTAACACATAATATTCTTTTATGTATATATATACAAGGTGATTCAGAACAACCCTTTATCCTTGAAAATACATAATCTTTGACTAAATTCTACAGTCACTTTTTATTTGATAAAATTTTGTCTAAATCTGACTTTTTGAGTAAGATCGCAGCAAACCGAGCAATCACAAACCGAGAAAGTAAAAAAAGCACTACGTATGCAATACTTAAATAAAAATAAAGAAAAGCTTTGCTAGAAATTTGTGAAGTATACAGTGATATATTTTATGTAGCCGGAGAACCACTGACAAAAACTAGCGCGGTGACACATAAGGTACGGATAAAAAGCGATACCACACCTATCAATGTTAGGCCAAATTGCCTACCGGAGAAACACAAGCAAGAAGTCGATCGGCAAATTAAAGAAATGTTAAGTAATAAAATAATAAGGAATAGCAAAAGCGAGTAGAACGCACTACTCCTTGTTGTACTCAAGAAAATGGACGCATCGGGCGTTAGGAAATTGAAAATCGTCGTGGACTTCAGACGATTAAATGATGTCACAATTGGTGATTTGTTTCTATTGCCAAATATCACAGAGATTCGTGACTAGTTAGGAAACGCGAAGTATTTTTCAACGTTAGATTTAGCTTCCGGGTATCACCAAATACCAATGGAGGCAGAAGATAAGGCGAAGACAGCATTCTCAACATCGTACGGGTACTATAAATATAATAGGATGCCTTTCGGATTGAAAAACGCGCCGGCGACCTTTCAAAGGTTGATGAATGCAATGTTGACAGGATTACAAGAAATAAAGTGTTTTGTCTATCTTGACAACGTCGTAATACATAGAGCCAGTCTAGAAGAACATGGTAGACAAATAAAAAACGTTTTTGACCGACTGCGAGACTATAATCTCAAGTTGCAGCCAGATAAATGCAAATTGTTTCGTAAAAAAGTGACATATCTGGGACGTGATTACTGAAGGTGGAATTTCACCAGATCCCTCAAAAGTGCCGTAACAGAGTTTCCTGTTCCAAAAAGAATAAAAGATCCAAGCGTTCATCGGATTAGCAGNTTATTATTGCAAAATTCATTGATNAGTTTTCAAGGATTGNAAAGCCGCTAANGCAGCTGTGCGCAANNAGACAGCGTTTACTNGACAAGAATAGCACCACGCGTTCGAAACTCTTAAAAGCANGCTGAGCAGCGCACCGCTACTAGCATATCCTGATTTCAACAGAGAGTTTGTTATCACAACAGACGCATCAGGTTACGCCATTGGAGCTGTGTTATCACAGGGTGAGATAGAACGTGACAGACCAATCGCGTACGCTAGCCAAGTGCTAAATAAGGCAGAACGTAATTACAGTACACCTTTACAGCTCACACGATAGCAAGTAGCTCCACCAAGAAGGAGCTACTTGCTATCGTGTGAGCTGTAAAGCATTTTAGATCGTATTTGTTTGAAACAAAGTTTAAAATTGTTACTGACCGCAGAGCGTTAGTATGGTTGTTTAATATAAAAGATCCTGGATCACGGCTAGTATGCTGGCGTCTTAAGTTAGAAGAGTACAACTACAAAGTAATCTACAAGAGAGGGAAAGCTAACCAAAGCGGACACGCTAAGTCAAAGTCCCGCTCTGGAAACAAACATGTGCAAAGCAAACGGTACAATGAAAGAGACGGAGAAAAAAACAAGGCGAGTGAGACACGCGAGCTCACTGAAAAAGAAAGAAGACAAATACTGTATGAGTATCATAATACACCAATAGGCGCTTATCAAGGAGTAGCGCGAACTGTGAAAAGACCTCGTCAAAATTACGATTAGCCAGGTTTGACGAAGGATGTAGAAAGGTACATCGCAAAATGCGAGTCGTGTCAGAAAAATAAGCTTTCACGAAAAATAAAGGCACATCTAATAATTACTGATACGTCACGGGAGCCGTTCAAAAAGTGCGCTCTCTTGATATTGTCGCGCCATTGCCGATAACAAGTAACAAGAATAAGTATTTGCTTACATTTCAAAATAGGTTAACAAAATTTAGTGAAGCAATGCCGATACCGAACCAAAAAGCTACGACAGTAGCAAAAGAGTTTGTTACAAAGATAATTTGCGAGCATGACATTCCAAGAATTGTGCTGACGTATAGAGGCACAAATTTTGCCAGTAAAATGTTTAAAAACGTTTGCAAGTTATTATAAATAAGTATCCAGCAAACACAGATATATAACAGCAACATTGTCGTAATAAAACAAATGTAACAAGTAATATAACATGGTTGTTGCATGTAACATCCATGTTAGTTGTAATTTCCTAATTATCGTATATTGCAGTTATATAATATGAATATAACATGTAAGTAGAATATAATATAATTGTTATATAGTTACAAAATGTTATATAAAAGTAATAATGTCATTTCCAGCTAATAACAAGCAATATAATAGATATATAACATACTTTTATTACATTTATAAAACAAAGTTACATAACATTAATGTTAATAAAATATAACAGCTGTTATATTACGTATATCATGCTGTTACTTTTATGTTATATAGCAGTTATATTTTGTGTTTGCTGGGTAAAATTCAAACTACGGTATATCACTTGGAGAACAACGAAGCGTTCTCACAGAACGCTAGCAGAGTACATTTGACATTTTGTAACCGGAGATGAACCCGGCTGAGATGAGTGGGTTTCATACGCAATGTTTACGTATAATATATACCACACCGCATACGGCGACAGGGTATACGCCTTTCGAGCTTGTGTATGGTAGACAAGCGGAATTACCAATAGCTTTGGCCAAACCATCGTCGACGCAGTATAATTTAGAAAACTATGTACAAGAATTAAAAGAAAGATTACGCGCCGCAAATCGCGTGGCAAGGGAAAATCTTAAAAAAAAGAAAAAAAAGCTAAGCAATACTTTGACAAGAGTGCAAAAGAAGCTACGTTCAAAATCGGAGATAAGGTATTATTATACGATAAGACGTTACAAAGGGGCAGGTCCAAGAAGCTCCCGGGCGATTTCCCACCACCTTGTCGTGGTGCCCGGGCTTGGGAGCGGTAAAGTGAGGGGGCCATGCCGGCGGGGACTCTTTTGAGTCTCTGGTAGGGTCACCCATGCTCGAAAGGGCCCCTCACCGAGCTCCCGTACTAAGAATGGGAATAGAGGAAGGAAAACCTCGAACAAAAACCCGGAGTTCTCAGCTCCGTTAGCCCCCAAAAACGGGGACAACTGGGATAGGGGAGTAAACCCTGACTTCAAATCCGGGCAGGCCGGGCTTGTTAGACTTGGATGTCAACCGGCCTAGGAGAGGGAAAACTCCGAAATTAAACCACTAC